AGTTTAGAGATTTAGGTGGATATGATTGATCAATACTTTAACTTACTTTGATTTGACTTGACCTTAGATAATTATCTTCAATTGCGGTTGAGTTGGTCTCACCTAAAGGTTAAGTCAAGCCTGACCGAATCTCAATCTTGTTGGAGCACATACGTGTCCTAAGCGAGTGAAACCTAAAGGAGTTGTAACCGAACTCTTTCAATCACAATCCCTCTGACGATGGAGTTGAGCCCAAGTGAGTATTTGACTTAGTTCGAGCGTAATCCATCTAAGAGACAAATTGATTTCGAATGAGTTCACCTATTAAAGCAAAATCTAACCTTATGGTAGGGTCATGATTGAGAAAACTCAATGTAATTTATACTCGAACAAGGTCGAATTCATTTTTGCCTTAGCAAGAATCTTTCTCACATGAGGTTTGGTCTCGCTTGGACTCAAATCTTCGCAAACATGAATCATGCAGATGTACATAAGGATATGTTCTTAAACGATTTTGAGACACTTGGTTTGGATCTGACTCTTAGAGATAAATGTTTATGCCCAAAAGAAGTTGATGGTCGCTCAAGCTTAAAAGAGGTAGACACTTGGGGCTTGATTTGACACCTAGAGATAAATATTTATGCTCATACAAGATTGATAATCACTCAAGAACATGGACACTATTATTCTTAAACACGGTAGAGCTCACTTGGGCTAATTAACTTGACTGAATGCTTACGTTGAATTACTTATGCTCAACTATTTTATTCTTTGTCAAGGTTGAGACTTTTTTTACACTCAATTTGTCCCCTTATGATAATAATTTATGGTCAAACACGATCAGTGTTTTTTGAATTGACTCTACAGTTAGATTAAATTACTCAATCGACGTTGGGACTCTCACTTGAAGTCAAGCAACATTCATCCTGACCTTGTTCAATCACTATTCATCCTATTAGCCAATCGAGCTCAAAGAAGTCATGACCTTGATCATGATCGACTATATACAATTTTAATGATTTTGATTATCTCAATGAGTTTAAGGGTCGAGTTAATATCCAAACAATTCCCAGCCTCATTCGAACATAATTCAGCCTAAATGTTAAGTCAACCTCAAATGAGTTTCAAACTCTTCCAAATTAATTTATATGTTATGGTCTAAGTCAAACCAAATTAAGTGTTAACCTCGTTTATTAATCAAATTAATCTTAAAGGCCGAGTAGTGCCCAAGTAAGTCTTTTGAATATAATTTCATTTGAGTTTGTGTTAAACTTGAGAAAGTATCGAGAAAGTATCAACATCGTTTGAACATATCTGATGGTCGCATCAAACCTAAGTATGTTTGGACATTGTTCGTGCAAAGTCTTCCAAAGGTTTGAATCAAGTTTGAGCATAGTATTTTTATAGGATAGAGTCGAATCCAAGCAAGTGTCGATCTCAATTGAAAGTAAGCCAAGAGGCCAAGTGATTTTCAATCTTCGTTCAATCTTAATTCATCATTACAAATGCTCGAGTCAAGGACAAGAGAGAATTATGTGAACAAGGTTGAAACCTTGTCTCTCTTGAAAACAATTATGCACGAACCATTTCAAGAAGTGTGTCCGGATAGTCTTAAAGTTGGATGGTTAGCTCTCGATCTTGTGATCGAAAAGCAACGTTGATGAAAGTGCACTAGGTATAAATTCTATTACGGGGATTGTAACTTCTGTGTAATGACCCTTGGGATGAAGAGTTATGCTTGAATGATATTGCATCTTAATAGGCTTACAAGATTAGTATTATATATCGAGACTTAATCAACTCAGAACTTAACGAAATCAAATAAATGCCATTAGAGGAAATTATTCCAGAACATGGTGGAGATTGGTTTGACGTGAGCCATGATCAAAGTCGATAATCATTTAGGCTCGACTCTATTTTCAGAGAGATTATTCTCGAATTAGGTCAACACCCATATAGAAGAAATATGATCAAACAAGAATTGTGCTTTGGCTTGATCACGCCTTCTGTTGATTTATGTTGTTCAAATTGTGAATGTTATGTCTTAGGTCCAATCGATTTAGGCTATAAACATTTTCAATATGATTAATGCATTATTTATTTATAGCAAGATCTATTATTTAATTGAATTGTTATTTTGATAAATTATATTAATAGAATTCGTAGATTCAAGTTCTAATAACTTGTTATCACAAAAAATTGTGTAGTGAGAAACAAAATGTAGTGACATTTAAATGAGCACGTGAATGTTTTGTAGAAGAATGAAGCATTGGAGAACTGATTGATAGATTCTATATGGATAACTATTTAAGTGTCATTGGTATTTAATCTTTAATGTTTGATAATAAAATAGATCCTTCGACTTGATATTATTGTAGTGCCTTATATGTAGACAATTATACTTTGATGATGTTATGTTGTTATGTCAAGAGTCGCTAATATGATATCGTTCGTGTATGTCAAGAATCATATGAAAATTGTGAATAATCAATAGATGATTCATCACTTTTTTTTATAATAAGAGATTATAATCTACATTTCATTTGGTTAAGCTAACAATGAAATCATTGGTCAATGTGTGCTTGTAAGTCAGAAAAGAGTTTACGATTGACTTAATAATGGTATGAAAGATATGATCGATAGTCGAGATTGACACACTTTATGTTTCGTAATAGACGAATCATATTGATGAATGGATTATAGTTTCACGATAAACAAACAAGTTTGGTATTTTTATACCACGTGATATTTCTTATCACATGTGTTGTCCCGACACATTGCTAAATGTCAATCTCGGACGAAGAATTTAAATTGATTAATTTATGTGAATTAATGATAAATTAAAAATGTATTTTAATTTATCTTATTTTGATTAGAATAAAATAATAATTCACGTTGTTAAGTATCGCGATCTCCCATCTAATAGCTCACACACAAAAGGAAAACTAGAAGAATGTGTTGGACATTAGTACAATTAATTAATTGGCTTATTAATGGGTTAAATTAATTAATTAGATTAATTAAATATTGAACAAGATGTAGGTTTAAGTGACTGATCAAACGTACTGGCATCCCCACATGGGGTCAAGTGACCCCACAATTATTATTATTATTATTACTATTACTATTATTATTATTTTGTAGTTACCCTTTACTTGGAGCTCCAAAGAGAGTGATGGAACTTCATTTGAGTTGAAATTTATCTGTAATGACTGGGTACTGCAGTCTGTCTTTTATGAGGATATAAATTATAAAATGTTAGTATAACTTCAAGACAAACAAGTAATTTAGATATAATACTTGAAAAAAAGAAGATTAACGTCACCCTAACCACCACCAACGCCGCTTGCAACACGCCGTTGCCGCAACCACCACCATCGCCGCCTACACCACCCTACCACAAAAACCATCGTCGCTGCCGCTGCCACAACATCACCCCAACCACCACCTAGCCGCCTGCACCACACAACCCCCGATCCGCCACCACAGCCACCATCCACCACAGCCACCATCAATCGCCACCACACAACCGCCAGATTCACCACCACAAAAATCGCCAAAATCGTCGCAGAACCACCACCACACCACAGCACCCAAACTGCCACAGCTAGCACCCAAACACCACAGCCACAGTTCAACCTGTACAACACCACCATCGCACACCACGCACCCAAAATCACCACACACCACAGCCACAACCAACCATCGATCGCAGCCACCATTGCTGCTCGTCGACAGAGAGAAATGAAAGAAGAGAGAGAGAGAGAGAGAGAGAGAGAGAGAGACAAGAGAGACAGAGGGGAATGAGAAAGACAGACGAGAGAGAGGGGAAGAAAGAGAACGAGTTTTCCAATTTTTGATTTTTGAAAACAATTTTTTAAAATGTCAAAAAGAACACATTTTCAACAAATTCAAAATAAACATTCAAAATACAAAACTCAAAATAAATTCAAAACTCAAAACACATAAAGAACAGCCCCTGAACTTTTCAACTTGGCAAATGTTAATTTTAACTATAGTTTTCATGGAATCTACAACTTTTACCGACTTAATTTTAACCACATTTTCATCAACTTCTATCAAAATCTACTATAACGTTTATAAAAAAATGGTCAAATAACCACCCAAGGGGTATTGTAGCTCTTTTAAATGACGTAAGTTGTTGTTCTTGCAAGATTACTCATACAAAAGAAATAAGGTGACCAATTTACTTGCTTCACTTGCTACTATCTCCCCAATTGGTGCGAATTGTGTTGATTGTATTCTCTACTTCATTTACCACGAGTAGTGATGACAATGAGCCCAGTCGAACTGGCTCGACCCATGTACCTTCGAGCTTGGATCGTCACTTTTTTGACGAGCCCACGAGCCAAGCTCGTTCGCAAAGCTCGACGTGCCGAGCCTTGCTTGTCCCGAGCTTGTCCCAAAACGATCTCTAGCTGCCCATGGGTCAAGCCCCAACAAGCCAACGAGCTACTCGATTCTTTTGCCACATCTAACCACAAGGTTTTAAAGATTTATAAAATGATATCCATTTACTTTATAAAAAAACTAGACATCACAGAGCATCTGGAGGATCCAACACAAGTTATGACAAATTCAGTTCGTAGAGCATTTGGAGGATTCTACACAAGTTATGACAAATTTAGTTTAAACTTTAAAGTACCATGATTCAATGGTTCTGAGAAAAATGCACAGGAATGAAGGTCTACAAAGAAGGGTCAATACCAAAGACATGCCACTTTTAACTTAATGAAATTATAGATAGAATTGTGATAGCTCCTGCTATAAAATATGATATGATTTTTCAGTTCAGAGTTTAAAAAAAAAAATTTTTAAAAAAAAAAATCCTTCTGGTTATCTCAAATATTTGCTCCATCTGTTGCTATTACTATATCAAGATTTACTACGACTATTTTGTTTGTGAATATGTAGCTCAAGGATGCAATGTGAAAAAAGGGCTGCATTTGCCACACAAAATTGTACTAACCTAGTCTTGTTTGTATCTATGCTCTTCCAGCCTACATTGTTTGAAACATAAAAAGGAAAATGAGCATGAAAGATACTGAAGACAAGATTGTTTTAGTTGGCAACAACCCACAAGCACTAGATCTTGGCTGCGAGTCTATGGATCCCGTTCCTGGTGTTAATCCTCCTCCACCATACAGAGGTGTAGTGGTTCCGGGTTGGGGGGGTGGTAAACTTGTAGTTGGAGTTGTGCCTGGGACGATACCAACCGAAGTCCCTGGTCCACCTGTCCCTCCTGCCGTGCTGAGAAATTGCAAAATCCAAGACATTAGATAGACAATAGGCATACTGCTATAGAATTTTCACGAAAACAAGAAGAAAAAGAAGTATAGGTATCAAAATGAATTTTTTTTTAAACAGGATTCATGGCCAACATTCATTCCATTGCTGCATAATCCTTTCTGAGAACTGGTTTTCATTTTCCGATTCTCTATTGCCAGTTACCATAAGAACCCCACTGGAGCCTTCTTATGGTTCATGTTTTGACTGAGAACTATTTGGTAAGGTTGGTCGTACCCGAAATGTATTGGGAAGGAAAGGAAAGTTAGAATCTTATCCGTTGTAGTTTCTTGTCTTGTTCACTGCTGTCAAAAACATTCCATTTGTTCAAAAGATCATACATCTCGATCATTAGAAATTCAGAGAAAACGAGCTACCTAAATCTTTTAAGTTATTTTTGGTTACTCATTTTGTGACGCTTTAGAGGTATTAATATTTCTTTTCAAAAGGATGTCATGGAGTTACTCCATGAGCTTTCGAAAGCTGGGATTCAAATATGGACTAGCAAAATGGAGCTGGTATATATTTTAGTTTGACACGTGTAGAGCCCCAATGCCTCAGAGGTACCAGGATGTGCTTAGAAGGATAAGAGTGATGTGAATTCGAGTCCTGGGATCATTACTTTAGGGAATTATAGTAAACAAGGACGAAAAGGGAAATGAGAGTACCTTTAACAAAGAGAATTCCAACAAAAAACACTAGCATTTGTATGACAGGGGTACTGCCCGTCTTTATTTATTTTTTTGGGAGCTTTCATTTTCCAAAGTAGAGTCCAAAGGACCCAAACCCTAAATACTCTTCTAATGAGCTTTTATGTGCATCTTGGTATTTCTGGGGAAATTTGTCTACGCCCATCTGAATTAGCAGAGGAGTCCATTCAATGATTGTTTCTAGTTTCCTTTGGAAAGTACACTAGATCAAACTTTTAACTCATTGGGTCTCTGCAGTTCGAGGGGAATCAACATAGTCAGAGTTCGATTTATATTTGGCCTCAATATGGGGGAAAAAAACATAGCGCTTCGAATGCGTCTTCATAAACCAAGAACTACATTATCATCATAGGAGGGACCATATGTAGTATCCCTTTTCTTTCTTCAATGATTTTTTCAGTCATCATAGTTATCAGTTCCATCTCTTTATAAAGGTCATGATTTTTCCTCTCCCTCGAGAGTAGAGCATGAATTCCATTCTAGAGAGAATGAATTATTGCCCTTTCCAGTAGGACAACATTGGATCTAGTTGAAAGAAGAATATTTAGCAGTAGCACTTGGCACTGGCACAGACACATTTTGTCTTTAAACCTTGTAACCACTATAAAGGCCTCCCAATCAAAGTAACGAGATCTGTCTTTTTCTCTCCTCTTCGCTCCTAATGAGGGAAAGTCTTCAATAGGATCTTTAGAGTATTTAGGGTAGGCTATGAAGCTCTTTTATTGCCTTATTTTATTCTTTCTTTGTTGTTATTTTACGTCTCTCCAAGTTAAGGAACATTGGGAAAGGAACTATAACGAGAAACATAACAATGTGCTATCTTGGTTTTGCATTTGGAAAGATAGTTGTGTTGAGCATTAAAAGTTAATATTTGTTAGAATTTGGGTGTGACTCAAATTCCTTGTGTGAAGTAATAGAAGAATTTTAATTGAAGTGCACATTAAGAAGAATTCAGTTTGAAATGTTATTGGAGTCCTATGTCAAGTTGAAATTTTATTTTGGAAACCCATTGGAAGTTATACTTTGTTTTGGACTCGATTTTTGTAGTATCATACTTCATCAACAACTCTACTAGGAGGGTTTGGATATCCCCTACATGTTCCCTATAAATATTAGGCTCTTCTCTATAATTTAAAAAGTGTGAGAAAATAGATTACTAGAATTATAGGATTTATTGTAATTTTTCTCTATTCTCCATTATTCTTGAATCAATAAAATCTCTTAATTTATCTGTCATATTCTTGTCTTTATTATTCTTTTGTTTGATCATATATTTCATTATTATTTGCTATATAACTTCAACATCTCAATCAGGTGGTTTTTTTCTCAACAATTGGTATCAAAGCTATTCTGGTATTTTGTTTGTTTTACAACAATTGGTATCAGAGCGTCGGTTTAGTAGTTCCACAAGAGCGCATGTTTGATTTGTTCGAGATTTTTTATTTGTGATGGCTTCCATGAAGTATGACATTCCACTTTTGGATAGGAGTACTAGATTTTCGATATGGCAGGTTAAAATGCGTGCAGTACTCGCACAACATGCGTTGCTTGGAATTGACAAGATGCCCGCAACTTTGATCGCGGAGGAGAAATTACGGAAGGATAAGAATGCAGTTTCTCACATTCATCTTCATCTATCAAATATTATTCTTCAGGACGTTTTGAAGGAGAATTCAGCAGCTGCTTTATGATTGAGGTTGAAGCAATTGCGCATGACTAAAAGTCTGACAAGCAAGTTGAGTCTCAAACAGCGTTTATACTCTCATCGAATGGCAGAAGGAGGATCATTGGAAGATCACCTATCTGTATTTAAGGAGATCGTCCCTGATTTGAAAACTTTGGAAGTAGAGTATGATGAAGAAGATTTGACCTTGATCATGTTGTGTTCGTTGCCCGCTTCGTTTTCTTCATTTAGAGACACGATCTTATATAGTCGTAATACTCTCACCATAGAGGAAATGTATGATGCTTTGTATTCAAAAAAGAAGATGAAGCATCTAGTTTCTGAGACCAGAGATGGAGAAGGTCCGATTGCTCATGGTGGTCCTGGAAGGGGCATATCGAAATCTAAGTTCAGATATCAAATTTGTAACTACTGCAAGAAGCAAGGGCACTTGAAGAAGAATTGCTACAAATTGCAGAATAAAGAAAGGATGGCTTCAAGTAGATATTCAGATACTTCAGGCGAAGCAGACATCACAGAGAACGTTGTAAGTGATGGAGATCTCTTAGCTATTTCTGACATTAAGTCTAAACCGGAAGATGATTGGATTCTTGATGCAGCATGTGTGTTTCATATGTGTCATAATAATGACTTATTTGCTACATATGAAACTGTTTCCAAAGGTTTCGTTGTTATGGGAAACAATGCATCTTATCGGGTTACTGGAATTGGTACAGTTAGATTGAAACTTTTAGATGGGACAATTTGAACACTTGGCTGGTTCGACATGTTTCAGATTTGAAGAAAAATCTAATCTCGTTGTCTATCATTGCTTCAAAAGGTTATGAGTTCTTTGGTGGAGGTGGAGTTTTGAAGGTTTGTAAGGGTGCTCAAGTTGTTTTGTCAGGTTTGTAAGGTACATAAAATGTCTCGATTATACATCTTGTAGGGTCGTGCAGAATTTAGAAAAGTCAATTAGCACAAGTTCAGGACCGTAGTGGACATTCAGTTTGGTACAATACCTTTAGGAGCTCATAAATGGTTGGATTTGAAGAATATAGTACAGTGGAGTTCAGGGGATATGGATAATGCCGCTTTGCTACCATCACCCGCAGTGTCATTGTATTCAATTGCTAGGGACAGATTCAATGGAAAAGGGTATGTTGATGCTGATTTTGTTGAGTATACTTTAAGTGGAGTAGAAGATGTACAATCTAACAATGAGCCTTCTTTAAAAGCATTTGAGTTTGATTCTGCTTTGGGGTGTGTTACAGCCCATTTTAGTAAATTATAAAATCATTATGATTTTTTATAATCTGAGGTAATTCTGCAGAGTAGTGCTTGGTTTCATTAAAAGATGTAGAGTATTTTGTGTTTGATTGGAGAAATTAGATTTTTGGTTATTGTTGAAAAAACCAGTTCATTCCTTGGTGGAATTCTTGTCAAGGTGGAGATTGTTAGAATTTAGGTGTGACTCGACTTCCTTATTGAAGTAATTGAAAAATTCTAATTGAAGTGCACATCAAAAAGAATTCAATTTTTTGGAATGCTATTGTAGTCCTATGTCAAGTTGAAGTTTTATTTTGGAAACATATTGGAAGTTATACTTTGTTTTGGACTCAATTTTTTGGTATCCTACTTCATCAACAACTCTACTAGGAGGGTTTGGACATCCTCTACATGTTCCCTATAAATACTAGACTCTTCTCTATAATTTAAAAAGTGTGAGAAAATAGATTACTAGAATTATATGATCTATTGTAATTTTTCTCTTCTACATTATTCTTGAGTCAATAAAATCTTTTAATTCCCCAGTCATATTCTTGTCTTTATTATTCTTTTATTTGATCATATATTTCATTATTATTTGTCACATAACTTAAACATCTCAATTCAGTGGCTTGTTTCACAACAATATTGATATTCCCTCAGTAGCTCATACCCTTAGAAGCGTTCTCGACTTCACTTGCAAGGTCTTTGGTTCAATCCACAAAGATAAAGGAAAACAATAAACTAACTATCTGACTATGCCTAATCCCGAATGCATGCCTCACTTTACTTTAAGGGATATAGCTCACTTTTTAGAAATTTGCTCTCATAACGAGGTTATTGAAGGTACCGATGTAAAACTCCTTGTTTCATTTCTATCATGTGCGATTGAAATGTTTCAAAAAGGATCCATAAATAGAAAATTCGGATTCCCAAAGACGTCTTGCATTGGTGCAAGAATCAATTTCAAGTGTCCTTGAAGATAAACAAAAATTTGGATACCAATCGCTGCCCTACAAGTCCGCATTGTATGCACTTACATCAATTAAAGGTAACCGCACAAAATTCACCCATTATCGTTGAATGATTTGTGAAGATGCACAATAATCTCATCACAAAATGAAATGGCCACGCTTCAACAACAAGAATTGACACCCATGGAAGAGTGGCCATAAAAGGTATCGGTCTACTATTTGTATACCTTAAGGCCCCATTTGATAGCACACATTTTCCTCAATTTTTCAACTTTTGTAGTGTTTGATAGGCAAAATTTTCCAACTTTCCAAATTTTCTACCTTTTTAAGGAAAATAAATTCTTGATGTTTTGGTGAGTAAATATTTTCCAGGTTTTGTTTTTTTTGGCAATTGGAAAAAATTCTAGACACAATGGTAAAAAAAATTTCACTTTTATTGACAATTTCCATACAAAACAAAATCAAACGAATGGTATTCGATATGGTTACTTTTTTTTCAATTTTTTTTTTTTTTTTTTTTTTTTGTTTTTTTGCAATTGGAACAATTTGTTTTTTTTTTTTTTTTTTTTTTTTTTTTAACAATTAGAAAAAATTCTAAACACAATGGTAAAAAAAAATTTCACTTTTATTGACAATTTCCATGCAAAACAAAATCAAACGAATGATATTCGATATGGTTACTTTTTTTTCAATTTTTTTTTTTTTTCAATTGGAACAAATTCTAGACCTAATGGTAGAAAATATTATCACTTTAATGTACAATTTCCATAAAAAAGAAGTCAAACGGACACCATACTTTCAACATTTTCCATGAAAAATTGTACCAATCAAATACAATTAATTACAATTCTCAGTAAAACAATTTCTAGGCAAATCAATTCCCTGTAAAATATTTTCTTTCCATGCATTTTCCACATTTGCAATCAAACGGACCCTAATTGTTTGTCTACTCAACTACCTAGAAAATGGAAGATAACAAAGGTAATAATCAAACAGTCAAACCTCGCCTTAAATAAACGCATAAACGCCTTCAAGAAAGCATTCGATATTGCATTTCTGCAAGACCATGTGGAATTTCAGTCTTTTTTTAGAGAAGAAACCCATCAATATGCCAGTCTTTAAGAATGAAAGGTCTTGGAATCCAGTGTGTTAGTCATTGTGAAAGCATTCACTTATGACTTATCAGTAGGTAATCTTAATTGCATCGATTTTCATATATGGTCACTCATTCCAGGCTCAATCTAAAGTTGATCATTAATATCCATGTCAAACTCGTATCACTATAATTGGTATATGAATCCAAAGATAATAGTTCGAGCTATCTGAAATCAATGCCTCGTGCATAGGTATTGAACGACAGAAGGCAACTGGGAATCCTCTTCTGGTTCTAACTCACTGCTGGAATAACTGAAGCCCCTCAACATCAACAACCCATTCTATTTGTGATTTCGTTAGATCCCTCACTTCTCTTCTTTCTTGATTCTTCACTACGAACCTAATAAGTAATAATGAAGCCTCATTCATGGATTTTGTGATCAAGTGACAAGGATTTGAACTAGATATATGGATCTCGAGAGGAAAAGTTTGTCACTTATCAAGGCCCTCTTTTCTTTTATTTTTATTTACTTTTTGAATGTAAGGCTTCATTTTCATTACCTTAAATTTCTGTGAAATGCAGATGACACAAACCAAGGAATACAATGAGTCGCTGTGGTTCTAACTATGAACAAATGCATAGTGAATCCTATGCCCAGAAGTCCCACCATGCACGAAGACACCTGGAAGTGCATCCACGTGACAATCACCCTCCTCTTAGAGAGAGAGAGAGAGAGAGGATAGTGCTGTTTATAGAAATTAGAAAATTATTTACACATTCACCATTTCGACGCATCAAAGTCATAAACAAGAAGAATAATACAGCAAAACCATGGAATAGAATATTCTTTATTAAAGATTCGGTGGGGTTTTTTTTTTTTGACCAAATCACAGTGCATCAACTGATCAACAGTCTTACAACTAATTATGCCAGTTTTAAAAAGCAAATAAGAAGCTTCCGGAAAAGTAATAAAAGCTTAAGAAAAACAAATATTAATTCGATAAAATAAAACATACCTTGGAGATGATGGATAAACACAAGATCCATAGCCTGAACATAAAAATACCAAATAAAATACTCAAATAACAAACTTCCAATGCAAAATTCAGGGAAAACATGTAGAGGGTGAGATTACAAACTTGGGTCAGTTTTGGCTACGGTGGCTGTGCCAGCAAATGAACAAGAGCCAGGGGCATTGCCCCTGCGCTGATAATAACTGTTGTAGGCATACGAGGCATGGGCTTGAAACGTATTGGGAAGATAACACAGCCCAGAAGATTGAATGGGTCCACAGTCCGCACCTGCCCCGCATGCGTAGTCAAGAGCTATCTGTAAAGCCTGATCGGTAGCATCGCTCCTGGCCACACACCAGGTGGCTGCCGCCACCACTGGGGCTGAGAAATTGGTGGCGGTGCACAGCAAGAATACCAGAGCTGCCACCACTAACACCTTTAACAAAGCTGCCGCCGTTGCCATAGCTGGCTATGATGAAAATGTGTTTGAGGGGAAAAGGAGTTTGTGAAGTGAAGTGTAGTGCGTGTAGAATGTAAGCACAGAGAGAGAATCGAGAATGTTAAGTTATTTTTCTTTACGTGTTTTGTTGTGTTTCTTTATCTCTTTTCTGCGGGCTCTTTTCTCTGTTTTGCTTTTTCTTTTGGGGTTTGAACGAATTAATTTTTCTGCTACTTTAAGGCTGCATCTTCGAGAAATCATAGGTGGAGTCTTGAATTTGAATGTGGTGATGGAAAAATGTTGGATTGAATGTGCTGCTGCAAAATTTGTCCGAGTACACAAAATCTACACTTGACAAAAACAAGTAGATTGAGCCCCAGTTTGATCCACTTTCTCACGGAAGTTCATTCTTTTCAAATTCATTTTCAAGCACATATTTTTTAATAAAATAATATTACACATAAATTTAAAATTTTTCCTTATTTTTTTACCACATATTTTCCATCACATCACATCACATCATAAAATATATATATATTTTTTTCATAATGTGCATCAAATACCCCTAATTTCATTTCATAAATGATCATTTAAATTTTGTACAGAATTTCATGATACACGTTTTTTTTTTAAAATCATTCTTTCAAAATTCATTTTCAATCACAGATTTTTCAATAAAATAATAGTACGCGCAAATTCAAAAATTTTCCTTATTTTTTAACCACATATTTTCCATCAGCCACATCATAAAATGCATTTTCTTCTCCAAGATGTGCATCAAACACCCCATAATTATAAGAAGCTTTTTGACCCATCATTTTAGTTATTGAATCAAGGGCAATTAGCACATAACATCCTCATCTTTCACTATTATTGTGGAAAACATCACAACCTTTCATTTTTTAGCATTTTCACTCTTATTTTCACTTTTCATTGCTCAAAAAGTCCTTTCAATCTATTTTTCCAATTAAAAATTGTGAAATGATGATATACCATTCTCCTTAAATTAAAAAAAAAAAAAATTAATTGCAACTATAGTCCCATTTTTTTAAAAAAATACCAAACAAGTCCCAAATAAATTATTCAAAAGGTAATTAGCATATAATATCTCTACATTTCACTATTATTGGGAAAACGTCCATACCTTTCTTTTTTCGACATTTTGCACCCATAATTACACATTTGATTGCGCAAACTATTGTTTCTATCAATTTTCATCTAATTTATCAGTAAAGAGTTGTGAAATGATAAATATACCTTCATATTTAAACAAAAAAGTTAAATAATTAATTGCAATCATAGTTCCAAATTTTTTAAAATGTGCAAACGAGTCTCAAATAAATTATTGAAAAATTATAAATTATTTTTTAAAAAAAGTGCAAACGAGTCCCAATTAAATTCATTAAAAAATTAATAAAATTTTAGAGAACTAAAAAGTGCAAACGAGTCCCAAAAATTTAGGCTTGACCCGAGCTTTCGGGCTGGCCGATTTTTTATACATATTATAAATAATAACTAAATATCAAAATATAAAAAAAATACAACTAAAATTAGAATAACAAATTAAAAAGAGAAGTGGCATGAAAGTTTTGTTTAATTTTTTTATTTTTTAGGCTCAAGTCCCGGCCCGGGCTTTTTTCAGGCCGAGTCTTAGCCGGCGAGCCATTTTGCCATCCCTAATTTGGGATTCATTTGTGATTTTTCAAAAAACAAAATAAAATTTGGGACAATGGTTGCAATTATTTTTTTCTTTTTCATTTTGTTTTATTTAAAAAGAATGGTCTATTCGTTATTTCATAATTTTTAATTGAGAAAATGAATGAAAATGATCTTTTGCGCAATAAAATGTGAAGATATCAAAAAATAAAAGATTAGGACGTTTTCTATAATAACAGTAAAATGTGAGGACGTCATTTGCTAATTATCCCTGGTCAGTGCTAAACAAATGATCGCCTAATTAATTAACATCAAATTCAGCATGACACCACTTAAATGCCTCGGAGGGTTTTGTGAGATATTTGAATTTTATAATCATCTCTCTAGCGAAGGCATTAATTTTTGTTTAGAAATAACGATCTTAATGGAACTGGTGGTCATTCCGTTCAACCACCTCCATCAAGGATTTTTGGAGATCCAGAACTCATTTATCATCATGTATTTAAATTGAAAAATAAATAAAATAAGAGTCGAACACAAATATGGAATGTAATCATGTTCTCCTTCCCTGCCTTGATTCCCCGACTAACTAGGGAATCCTTGCCACGAAAGATGAGGCGTTTTTATCGTTACTATTTAAAAATATACAACGGGTTGAAGAGAAAGAACAGAGGTTGAAAATGTGTAATAGAGAGTTAAGAAGAAAATAGAAATTTATAGGGCATAAATGGTAATTAACTGTCATTAGTCTACAAGAATGAAAAAAGTTAGGAACATTACAACTCTGTGCTAGAACTAAATGTGCAGCGGATGTGGCGGAAAAGGAAAATGATAGGCAAAAAAAAAAAGTAAGAAAGAGAAAATAACAGTGTAAACTGCTGACAATCGTAAGAGAAGAAGACTTTATTAATTAAGAAAACCTCACAGTACAATCCTTTCCGCACTCTTTCAACTTCTCCTTACACAAAACTAGAAAGTTCAACGTAGCAAACTCGAGCATACCGTTTTCTAGTTTTTCTTCTCTATCCATTCCACGACGAACTCACCACAATAGCCTCTTTTCCTTCTGTATCCGTGTGCAATCAACTTCGCAATGGTAGAACAATCAACGTACATGTGCACGTACTTGCATACGCTTAGTGGTGTAAAAACGGGCGGTCCGGGCTTCGCAATGGTAGAACAATCAACGTACATGTGCACGTGCTTGCATACGCTTAGTGGTGTAAAAAAGGGCCCGGATCGCAGGGGGAGAAGCCCGATCTCGGACCGGGCTGAAAATAAATCGGCCCGAGCGGGCTTCCCGGGCCGATCAGGCCCGAACCGCTGCCCGGACCGCAGGCCCGCATGGGCCGGTAGGCCCCTTTTTTTTCCAAAAAATAAACTGTAAAAAGAATTATAGTGAAAATCGATAAAAGTTACGTAAAAATAAATTTCACGTTGATTTATTTTTCGATAAATTTTATATCAATAAATGAATAACATAAAAACGTACAATTGTTCGAACAATATTTTGCATAACTTGACAAATTACACAGTTTTGAACTATTTATAAACTTATAGTTAAAGTACATCTCAACTAGATTGACATCTACTTAACTATAATTTCGTCATTACAAATCAGATTTTATTCATCTACGGTAAGATTTTTAAAGTTTTGAGCAATATCGTCAACAACTTTATCTTCCATTCTTCTATCAGCAAATAACTAGTCTTTCACGCAGATGAGAGTTTCTAAAATATCTTCTTTCATCTAGCACTCTGTTACCTGCATTAAAAGCAGACTCCGATGCCACTGTTGAGACTGGAAATGTTAGTAGATCTCGGGCCATTTTTGATAATGTTGGATATGACCGTTCATTTACCTTCCACTATTGTAAAACATTTAAATTGTCAACCTCGTCTTATGGAATTAAACTGTAGTGATCAAATTGATGATATCTTTATAATTTAGCTAGTGTAACATTCTCATTTGAAAATGAACTAATAGATGAAGTAAAAGACACATTGCGTTTCTTGACTCTTAAAGAAAAGAAAGAACTTTTACTTTTAAAATTTGTAGCAGAACTCGTAGTAGAAGGAACATTTTCATTATTACCATATTTTCATAGCATAACTATTGTACATTTCATTAATAAAGCATTCTATTTCACGGCTTGTAATATTTATATTGAAAGATAAAGTTTCAGAAAGTTGGTCCATAGTACACTGAATTCTAAAAAATTTTATACGAGGATCCATTACAGCTGCAATTGGAAAAATCATTGACATATTTTCGTAACATTTTTGAAATTTGTCCTCCATTGTACAAATAATATCATAGAAAAATGGATCGTCTTTATGACTTGAAAATTGATTAGCAATTTCTACAAATTGATCGAGCATAAGATTACTTGTTGGATAATAAACTCCGGAACTAGTTTTTGTTGCCTTATAGAATGGTTTCAAATAATTCATGACTTTAAATGCAATGTTCAAATCATAATCACCAATGTGAAATTGATGTGGCTTTGAATTAACGAAAGCATTAATAGTATCTGTATAACAAACACACGATTTTAGCATAAGAAAAGTTAAATTCCACCTATTTGGAATATCATCAATAAATTTTCTTCTCCTAAATCCAAGATTTTTACAAATTTTTCCAAATTCTTGTTGTCTAGAATCTGAACAAGAAATGTAGTTAATAGCTTCTTTAATTTTATATATTTGTGGTATTATTAATTTTAAATCATCTTGCACTACTAAATTATATATATGACAAACACACCTCATATGAAATAATTTAGAGTCAATCGAGGGATTAAGAGTCATTTTCAAAAGTTCAATGCATGCAGTATTTGCACCAGCATTATCAAAACTAATGCTAAATAATTTGCTCAATACTTTAAATTCATTAAAAACCTGTAATAAATTCTCACACAAATTTATTCTATTACGTAGATATTCAAGTAAGCGAAAAGAAATAATTCTTTTGTGAAGTAACCAATTATTATCAATAAAATGTGCAGTGACACATGCATAACCATTGTGATTACGTCCAGACCAACAATCAGATGTAAAACACATAATTCCATCAAAATTGTTAAATTCAGTTTTCAAATATTCAGTCATTGTATGAAATAATTTCAAAATATCTGAGTGAGTATTTCTACTTACAGATCGATAAGCGGGTTGAACATACTTTTGTATAAACTCCTCAAAGTATCGATTTTCTACGAAAGTAAAAAGCATCTCGCTTGCTGCCAAAAATTCAGACATTCCTACTCTCATTCGATCCTGCGAATAACAAAAATTAGAAAAAGTAATTGTTCTACTAGTATTAGTAAAAAAAAGTAATTTGAGCTTGTTTAGTATCCAAATGTTCTCTTTCATTCATGTGTTTATCTTTGTGTATTCGCAATGTGCCCGTGGATTGACCTTTAACCCATTCATTACTCTTTCTGCAAATAGTGCATATTGCTCTTTTGTTTAGTTCATCCACTGTAAAGATTTTCCAAACATCATATGCGTGCTTTTTATTTTTTCGCTGTTGAGAAGATCCAATATTTGGATCATTATCATCTTCCAAATTTATTGGAGAACAACTATCATGTAAATTGACATTTCTTGAAAAAAAATTGTGAGAATCCATAAATTTTCAATAAATTTTTTTGAAATAATAAGTCAATAAGATGAAAAGAAAGCACAAAATACTAAATATGAAAAATACTTATTGAAAATATTAAGAGAGAACGAGAAAATAGAGATTTCAAATTTTCAAGCTTGTAGTTGTAGATTGTAAGAGTTCAGAATTTTTTCCACTTCACAATACCACAATTTATACAAAATTTTTTTTTTTTCAGTTAACCAAAAAATAAAAAAAAAATTTCAGAACGGTCCAATGACCGTTCTGAACGGCAATTGCAGGCGCAAGTTTTTTTTTTTTTGCAAGTTTTTTGTTTTTTTTTATATATTTTTTTCAATCGGGCCAGCGGTTAACCGCTGCCCGGTGCACCTTGAACCGGCCCGGACCGGTTCAAGGTGCGAGCAGCCCACGATTCGGCCCACACGGTTCGTGGGCCGAATAGCGGGCCGATTCACCCCCAGGCCCACCCATCTTGACATGTCTATATACGCTCCACGCGCATTCTCTCTCTCTTTTTAATACGCCCGCAGCTTTGGCTGCCATTAGCCCAGTCCTCCATATTTCCTGAACTGCTTAATTAGTTTCTTTTTACACTCCAGCTCTAATATTATTTCCTCATCATTGTCAAACAAGAACCATATTTTCCTTCTTAGAATAGAACTCATTTATGTTACACCAAATTCCCTTTTATGAAATTAGCTCCTCATTCATTCTTGTAAAACATTTTTTTCCCTCAAGGAACCTAGTAGATTTTCATCTCTCCTCAGATGCTCTCTGTAGACAATTTGAATTTATTCCATAATTAATCATATATTTCTTTTTTTCTTGTATTATTCATCTATAGTGCTAAAACTATATCTACTTTTATGATATAGAAATACAAATTTTCTTGATTTAGGCCCCGTTTGACACTCGTTTTTTTCCAATTTTTGAACAGGAAATTGATATTTGTGTGGGCCCCAATGTCCTTCAACTAATTAAAATACCTGACACCCGTGATGGCACGTTTTTGAGTAAAAAACAGGGTACCATATTTTTACAGAAATCCCGAAAATGCCCTTCCATTTGTAAAATGATACTTGTGGTAGTTGGGCACATGATATTTGGATTGGAGGGCAAAATAGATTGAAAGTACCGTTGCCAGTTCACCGATCTTAAACTAGTCTGACTTGATGGCGTATTGGTTTGATTGTTAAATGATTTCCCACTGTAGCAAAATGCATTTTTCCCAAAAGAAAGAGATTCAAATAGGGGCTTAATGTACGGTAGACAAAATTTGTTGACTTGCAAAGAATTGAACCTTCGTCCATAAACTCAAATCAAATTGTGAATAGATGCTTCATCCATTTCATGAATTGACACGTGACACATGATCCTCTAATTGTCTTTCGCTTCGAATTCTCCGTTGACTTAGTTCCCTTGGCCTCATTGGACCTCTCCTTTACTCTCCTTGTTTGCTTTATGAACAATACTATGTAACATCATTAGGGTTTAGCATGGATCCATGGATTCGTTGTTCAATAAATCAAAATATTGTTCAACTTAATGAACAATGAATAAGAGGACTTCACTACCACTAAGCACTAATGGTGCACTAATGGTGCTACATGACATTACTCATTGTATTAGGATGTGAAGTTGAAACTGCAATTCAATACTAACCACGTAGCAGCAGCGTAGTAAAAACTATTCACTAGGAAATACATTGAAAAGACACCCTAGTTGAGTGGAGGTACTACGTGTCAAGTTATATGATGAGGGTCGAGAAAAGGAATTAGAAGTCGAATAAATGTATCAGTTGGCATCATAACATGTGGAAATTACATGCAACCAGAATTTTAGAGATCAAAATTCAAAAATTAGTTTAAAATTTATTTATACAAAAATCAGATCTTAAATCAAACTATTAATATTAATATTAAAATAATAAAATATATTTATTTATCATATACAATTTTAATCTCAAACCCTAATTATATATCTTCCTTTTCTCTCTCTCTCTCTCTCTCTCTCTAGACCTCGCATCTCTATTTTCTCTTCTCTCACCATCTCTCTATCCTAATTATATGACGAGGGGGCAACTCAAACCTCGTCGAGAAAAAGGTATTAGAAGTCGAATAAATGTATCAGTTGGCATTATAACAAGTGGAAATTACATGCAACTAAAATTTTAAAGACCACAATTCAAAAATTAGATTTAAAATTTATTTATATAAAAATTAGATCTTAAATCAAACTTTTAATATTAATAATAATATTATAAAATAATTTATTGACCATATAGAATTTCAATCACAAAGCCTAATTATATGTATCCCTTCTCTCTCTCTCTCTCTCTAAGCCTCGCCTCTCTATTCTCTCTTCTCTCTTCTCTCACCATCTCATTATCCTCTTCTCTCACCATCAGATCTGAGCTAGTCGCGATCGCAGGTGCAACCATGGCTTCCGCCTAAACGACGACTATTGTCGTGAGGCTTATCGTCAATTGGCATAACGGTAGATGGAAAAATAGGGGTTGCATCAATAATCAAATTGTGCAATTTTGCATTTTGTTTCTCTTTGTTTGGTTTGGGTGATTTTTATTGCACCAAATATTGTTAATTTTGGGGAAAATTTTGAAAGTATTGGATTTTCAAAGGATTGAAGTGATGATGAGCGTGGTGGCTACTCTATGCGGTTTGCGGTAGTTGTAATATTGGCTACGGTGACGAGGTGGTGGTGATGTTGGTAGTGGTCGTGGCACGGTGTTGCGGTGGTGAGGGGTATTTGTGATCAATTATTTGATTGATTGTGACCAATAAATAACATGTGATCTAAAAAAATATGATTGTGACGTACAATTTATTAAATTGTGATCGAGAAATAACTTGTGACCAATAAATTTGATAATATGTGATCGTTAAATAAATTGTGACTTATAAAATTTGTAATTCGTACCTGATAAATAAAATGTAACCTATAAAATTTTGATTTATGACCTATAAATAAATTGTGACATAAATTTTTTTTATTTGTGATCTATAAACTTATGATAGAAAAATAATTTATGACCAATTAATTCAATAATTTATGATCAAATTATATAAAATTGTGATCATGAAATATTTAATTAATAAAATATATTTTAAATTAATTATTTCATAAATAAAATTTAATTAATATTTGATTTTTGAAATTTTTAACACTTTTTCTTAATTTTGAAATGTGTGATACTTATCTCTTAAATATGAAAATTTCCCCTATATAACATAATACAACTCATTTCTATTCCAGTAATAGGTTCTAAAGGGGGAGTCTCCTTCATTCCCTCTAAGTGAACATGTAAAATAATGAATTATCCAACCCAAAACTTAAAGATCCTTCTCCAATAACTAGAAAACGAACATTATCCAATGTACTTCCCTAAATTAAAATTATACATTTCCAAACATTTTGCAGCTCAAAAAATTGTGTATTGACTATCAAGTTATCGGTATTGTACACTCATCCCTCACTCCCTCCCTCCCTCTCAATTTCACAATAAAAAGAAAAGAATAAAAAATGAGATCTTCCTCAAGTTTGCTCATAGAATAAAATGTAGGCTTCACATCTAAGAACTTCCTCTAAGGAAACCTCGTGCACATATGCATCACTGGCATGATACCACACGCTATCTCCATTTTCACCCTTGGCACTTCTTACATACGCAACATAGTGGCCACCTCTCATGGTCCCCAAATGCTCCACCACTCCAACCAGACGATACACATACCTGTCTCTCTCAGTACACCTGTAAATAAATCAGTAGAATTTCAGATGGCATCACAGATTTGGTGTTAATGGTATGAACATTGCATGCAAAGTTGTTTAGACACTAAAGATCAAGATAAACTTCAAGCAGACCAACAGAGGCGCTATCAACATGAATAAGAGACAAGAAGTTTTTGGGCTATAACTTCTATTACTCAATCAGATTAACATACTAACTGAATATTACAAGAGTGTTTTAAGTCTTTTCTAATACTATTATACTCAAGTCAACAGAGAGCTAAGAATTTATAAGCCCATTAAATTCATAAGAACATATAAAACCTTTTTTCTTCTCAGTACTACAGTACTAACATTAAGTTTTGACAGTAATTGTAATGGTATGAATATATGGTCAAGGTGGGTTTTTCTATGTAAAGCAACATCCCGAACCAACAATATGAAAATACAAATCTAAGGAATCAATTGAAGGCAGAAATGATATACAGCAATGTAAAATAAGAAAGCTTAGTGATGCTCCATTCTGGAATGGGTAGAAATGAGATCATACGTGTGTGTATTCTTTTCAATATCAAAGCCATGGAATAAAGAAGTAAACTTCCCCAGCCTTCTCTCAGCCATTTGCAGGTAAACCCTTCGGGAAGATATGGCTGGTTTTCCCATAAACCCATTAACAAAGTAAGGTTGCTGGAACAGCAGAGTCAAACTGAAAATATGAAAACAAATACTCATTCTTAAGGTTCCCAGATTCAGCCTATGACCTTACATGCCGTCTCTCTTCTCTGTTTTCCCCCTTCTCACAAGTTCCCTACAACTGTTTTCTAACTTTTAGGTTTTCCACAGACTTCATGGAACTTGACGTCCTTAAAGAAAAACTGAGAATCAAACAGGATAACTCTTACACGTCTAATCTACAGAACAATATGATGCATCGACATGCGATTTTTCAAAGAAGTACCGACACGTCAATAAATTCTTCTACATATAGATATAAATTTAGTTTTATACTTGTTAATTTTTCTTGTTGAAATCTTTTAAATAAGAGTGTCTATTTGTTATATTATAATAGCTTGGAATTAAAACTATATATTACTGATACCAAGAAAATATAAGTATGGTAGATTGTTCGAGTGTTAGTATCTTATACGACACTACACGTGTTGGACAAAGACATTTCACCCTAGTTGAAGTGTCCATGCAACGCACAAGAAAAAAAACCGCTTACCCAGTGTTACTCATTGAGATGCCTAAAAGAACTATAAACCCGCAAAATTATTTTTGCCAAATTATCAACTGCAAGAAAGGAAGAGTTCAGAATCATATCAGATACGGATCTTGACAATGTATTGGAACAAAAAACTTATAGAGAGCTTGTACATAAGAAGTTGCTGCTGTACATGTGGAATTCAAGCTGGATGGATCTCGAAAACAGTCAGAATTTGTGTTGATAAATTGAAAGCATAAGATGTGTGGGAAGATTTAGCAAAATTTTGACCACTAAGTATATATTCGATACGGTATTGGCTTTTGGGAGACGTTCAATTGGAGATAAAGATCTGAAATAGTACCTTCTGGATCTAGTGTCTAGCAGTTGGTAAGAAGCAAAAATTCAGGGCAGTGTATTTGATTGTGGTAGAGAAGTTCAGGAAGCTGCAGTCTAGAAACGTCTCAACAGCTACAACTGTTAGATCACTTTCTTAAATACTGTATGCTGTTGGAAACAGGGGGATGCACAAGGTACTTTAAAATCGCATCCTCTGCCAGAGATATTAGTAACCTGGACTTTTATCAACTACCAAGTATAGGCAAAAGGCGACATCATACACTCCCTTTTTTGCTTGTTATGGAGCATTTTGGTTTAGAGAAACAGATTTGATTTTGATACTGCTGGCATTTTTTGTAGAAAAAAATATTTATTTATAGAAGGATTATATAAAATTAAGGATGACAAGAAGTTCTCGATTCCTGAAATTTACAAGTCAAGTTAAAAGTTAAACAAGCAAGTTCCTCAGTCACACTATTCCAACCTTGCTGCCTCTGAAGCCCAAGAATTAATGCGGAAGAAATATGTTGAATACATTGGCATTGCGAGAGATTCTCCAAAAATAGCAAACAATCTCTCTCCCAGACAGACAGAACAAGTGAAGGTGAAAATCTAAATTTGTTAGACAAATAATTAATGATAAGGATAAATATTATTCACAGTTCTTAATACTGTATTTTAAGCTTAATGCAGCTTATTCAAATACAGACACGTCTTTTGCTGATTTCTTGAGAGAAATGCCTTTTGTAGACATTTTGCACTCTTAATACATTGATGTGCTCTTATGATGAAATATCAATGAAAGTAACCAATTTAAATCATATTATGAAAGATAAAAGCCATTACTTCAGGCGCTAACAGCATAAACGTGGCGGAAATACATTTTAATAGTTACAGAAACAAGAGTTTTAATTTTTTCTTCACCATGATAATAAAGTAGCATTTTTCTCATTGAAAAATTTAATGAAATAGAAATAAATCTTATTAGCATTAAGGAAACTGAAAGGATTATACACTAACAAAAATTGCATGAGAGAACAAAAGGTCAAGTGAAATCACACCTGGGATTCATATATTTTTTGAGATCAATTGTCTCTTTAAAATTCACATGGCCATTCAATTTACTCAATCGACCTCGAGCATCTTGGCTGAACCTCTTTAGATGGATTGTCAAGATAGAAGGAGCCTTATCAATGAGTATCCTCTTAGTTGCATCCCTCTTCACTTTCAACTTTTCTGAATCCAGATTGTCTTCCACACTTACTTCTGATTCATTTTGTTCAGCAAACTTATCGGTCTCTCTAGACTGAGTTGTATCGATGCAACTTTCACCACTGAACTCATTTATGATGCAATTAACACCATTTTGGCAACTCGAATGTGAAGCCTCTGCTGGACCAGGACAGGCACTTGCGCTCTCCGGTTTTCTGTCTTCTAACTGGGGAGCAATTGGATTCATCTCAGCTTGCGGATTGTTTACAAGCATTGAATTTCCATTATCAATAACCTCTATGTTCTTTAAGCACTCATCAGAAGTGTGAGGTACATATTTTTCCACATTCCCAATCACATATTCTACTTTAGCACAACTTTTGCCTTGAGTCAATGGATCACTTGGATTTCTATCGTCAAAACCATCTAGTGCCATTTCTGATCTAGCTTTTCGTAATTTCATCCTCAATCTAACCATTTTTTCTTGTAAAAATTTGGAGCAATTATCACATTGCCAACCATGTTCATCCTTGGAAAGAAGTTCTGGCTTTGTGAAATAGGCTAAACAACTCTCTACAGAAACTGGAGCATCAGTATCATCAACCTCATCGTGATCAGAACCACTGCTATTTCCAACACCAAATCCACTTTTAATGACTTCATTTGCCTCATAACCTGTGTGATTGCTTTCAATCACAGCCTCAGGTTCATTAAACAAGTCTCCAAATCCATCAAATTCTAAGGAATCTTGTTCACCACAAAGAGCCAATGAGGAGACCTCAATTTCTCCTTTTGATACCTCGGCAATAGATGGGGCATCTTCTTTGTACGGAAGCAACAGAACTTCAGAATCTTGAATCTGTAATGGCAATTCCTCATCCCTCCTTGAAGAACTAACATCAGAATTTGAACCTTTATGGGAAACCTGATTAAAGGATTCTGAGCTACCCTCTAAATAAGTATCATCTTGAAAAGCTTCTTTGATTATGGAACATTTAGGCAAACATTTCTCATCAGATTGTGAAACCAAAATATGCTCACTGGCTGATGTAACTTGTTCAAGAGAGTCCAACAGTCTCACATTGTCTGAGGAAGGTGCTGAGGTCAAATGTTGTGAATTACTCTCTCTACTAGGTTCCAGAGAATTCAGAGAAGTGTCATTGTTCTGATGAGCATTTTCATTAGCTGTACCCTGGTTTCCTGAAAGATCGTCAATTTCTGAGGCCATATCAATGTTATCTGATGCCGCATTTGGCTCAAGGTAATCTAGCCATGCAAAACTATCTGGTGAACTTGACTTCCCTCCAACATTCTCAATTCCTTGCTGGTAATCAGGCTTTTCCATAGCTGAAAGATCCCAGGGTGACAAACCCATATCGTTAGCAATATCATTAGTGTTAGTGGAATCTGATACCGCCAATTGCTCTGCTGGAAGTAAACTCGACTGCACCTCACCTGAAGACTTGTCACCAGTTGATTGGTCAACAACACTCTGAGCTGGTAGTATAAAAGCATCTTTGGTGACTTTGGAGCGAATCTTTCCGCTTCTTTTCGGAGGCAATTTTGGTTTCTTGCCTCGAGAGACTGCCTGCACCCTTTTTGATGGAGGCTTCTTAGTAGGAACTGGCAATGACAGGTCCAAAAATTGCTCATAAACAGTTGAAGAGTGCCCACATTCTAAACAACTAACTGTGCTAGAAAGTTTCCCTCCAAATATAGCATCCACAAATGTGGGATCTGTGTCCGTAGACTTCCCATCATCCTGAGATGAATTGATGTGCTTTTTTGCACTCAATTCGTCAGTGCACAATCCATCGAGCAAACATCGAAGCAATTCGTGACTATCTTGTTGCTGATATCCCCTAAACTGGGGAGCCTTAGAACAAACACTACCAAATAAAGACCTTGGATTTATCACATTACTTGTACCAGCTTCTGGGCTGGTTTCAAGGAAAAGCTTTCCCAGAGCAGCAGTAAGAGGACCAACAGATTCATCTAATTTAAAAAAGTAATCCCGCAATTTATTTATAGCCAATAGATTCTGTATAGTTGAATTAAAGAAACATGTATTCCCCAAATTAACAATACCTCTAACTGAATAATTAGCTCTTCCATCTGAACCAATAAATACAGAGTGTTCTTTTATTCCACCAGTCACACTGCCAGTGCCAAACCAAACATTCTCAACATCTGCATTAGACCCTTCGGAAGGTCTCTCCTTTAGCATTTTTGCAATTTCATGTAAGGCATCATTGTGTTCATCCGATTTTTCAGCTGAAATTAATGTATTGCAAGGAAAACACCACCGCTGTTGAGGATTTTCATACTGGACAGCTAGTGGATGATGCCTCTGTTTCGCATGTCGAACTGCATGACTTTGGGGCGTGGTTGGGAATCCCACACCTCCACAGGAGAAATGTCCGCATTCCAAACAAACCCAAATTGTTTTAGACTCCGATTTTGTATTACTCCCTCCCTTCTTCCCGTGCTTAGCTTTTCCTCTGCTCGCCCGTCTATCCGCCACATTAACACGACAATCTTCACATGCAATGGGCTCTGACGACCCAAGTTTAGAAGAAAGATTCTCCAAATTAATTCCCTTGACAACATGGGAACATACTCTTCTATCATTTACAACTGCACCTCCACTCTCATGAATTTTAACATTGTCAATGCCTTGCTGGGAAATTAGTTTTGGAGAAGAGGAAGAACCTCGTTTCTCCTTTTGGCCACTTCTTGCCTTCTTCTTAACCTTTTTCCCCATTATTGCCTAAAACCAATGGAAGACAATAAAGAACCATAAACCCTAATTTAAAGTGTAAAACCAACATAATATTTCAAACAAAAATAGAAATAAACACTAGAAAACAGTAAATATCTAAAAACCAATCCCAACTGATATCTTGCACTAGGAAAGAAAAAATGTTTAAGAAGTCAACCCAAAACCTATGCAACAGAAGTCAGGGCACTGCAAAAAACCTAGAAAGAAACTAAAAAAGTTAAACAAAGAGTTTGATTAATTTCTCAAATCCAAATATCCAATCTTGGAAGCCTATAAATACTTCTAATCCTATTAACATAAAAAAAAACATAATTATCAGACGAGAACAGTCATCAACTCAAGCAAGTTATTATCCGTTCGCATATAAATCATTTAAATGAAAAAATGACCCATTAAAGATCCAATCTTTCTGAGATATACACGACGGAGTTTGATTATCTTTCAACCCTTTATTTGTTTAATATTCTTTTTTTTTTTAGCAAGCCCAGATGGATGGATTTCTGATTTCGAAAATAATAAAGTGTCCATACCTATAGTTCACGATATCAGCAAAAAAAAAAAAAAAAAAAA